TCTCAGCTTTATGGAACATTCTGAGGCATAAGGAGCTTAAGTAACTACAAAGCTGAGCTGGGATTCCAACCCATGGGGTCAAACTCTAGACCCAGTGCTCTGAACTACATTTTTACTCCATCTCTAAGCTAATAAGCAATTTCCCTCATCAAAGCAAGTTTCAGTTGGGTATCTTGCACTTTCAGCCAAATTATGTACTATGTATTGTAGGTATACTAAGTAATACACTAATGAAAGCAATCAAAGGAATACCTCAATCTGAGTATGTCCAAAGCCATGTTGTTATCTTTCTCAAACTTGTTTCTCTTCCCTTTCTCTCTAAATGACATTTTCATCCATACAAGATGAAATTAAATCTTGGGAATCATTCTGGATCCCTTCTCAGCTTCCACAACACCTCATTTTATATCCCAAGCCTCTTTATTCTACAAAAATTGGGCAGTTGTAATGGACACAACCTGATCCTCAAGCCAGTCCCTTTATTTTTTTAATTTTTACTTTCACTTTTTAAAGTAGGCTACACACCCAGTATAGAGCTTGAACTCACAACCCTGAGATCAGGACCTGAGTTAAGATCAAGTTGGCCGCTAAACTGATTAAGTCACCCAGGCATGCCCCCTTTCTCTTCATTCCCACATTTGATTCATTCATACAAATGGTCTTAACCTTCTTTAACCTTTTAGTGCCCTAGGATCTTCACCAGTAAGAGGGGGTCAATCATACCTATCCCCTGAGGCATTCGAGGATTAAATAAGATAAAGTGTGAGAACCACTTAGCACAGTATTCGCAACTGTTAAGGTATTTCTTTTAAGAACTAAAAAAGTTTTAACATGTGCTCATGGAGAATTCATTGTTTGCTTTTATAGCAAAAACACGAACTATAATAAATTCATCAAATGAATATGATTTCATATTTTTGCACTTCAAGTGACCTGTATGATTTCCTGCATTTTCCAACGTAATAAAAATTCTTAGAACACACACACAAAACCCCACTCCCCAAAACCCAACAACATTCAATCCCCACTCCTTAACTATGCTCTATTAGCAGCTATGTTAGGGATTGCCATGTATCTGATGAGTACAGCACATTCATCAGATATACACATTCAGAATCAACTTCCTTGATTGTATTAAGTCAACTACTAGAGCTTTAAGTTGTTCCCCTTGTTTAGTGAACATTCAAAAAATAAAATATAAATTCACGCATTCACCCAAACACAGAAGGGCCTATGTATCATACAGGTTATATACAATACACATATTATTCATATTCTACTTCATATTAGATTCTTTGGCTTGATACCCAATTTTCATATTGGATTAATAAAGCATAAAAAAGCATACTGTAAGGATCAAATATTTGACACAGCCATTTAGCCTTATCCATTAACATACACACACACACAGAAATTTTAAGTAAAATTAAGCACTTGTCTTTATTAGCTTTCTAATTAGCCAACATATGAACCCAACTTGGAGCCTATGGGTGGGGTGTTTAAAACAAACAAAACAAACATGAGTTGATCTTTGTGTAAGAGACAGAAAAGGAAAACATAATGATCAAGCTCAAACTTATGATTTCCTTACATTTTTCTCTCCAACACGTATCTTCATTGCCTAGTTAAGATTCAAACTTGAAACAGAAGATAGTATTTTTAAATGTCTTTAAGTTACCCTAAAGGACTACTTCCCCTTACCGATTTTCATACCTTTCCATTACTGTCCATGTTGTTTACTACATTAACACCTGAGCAGTATCAGGTCCTGTTAGAATTACCAGGAACCAGATTTCTGGTTTATAAATGAGGGATATATAATTTGTCTTCAAACACAAAAGGAAAGCACCGGGTAGGGGAACGGTAGTGAGGAGTCACAGTATTTTTTAAATTCCAGAGGTTTTAGAAGTAGCCTATTGGTAATAAACTCCAGGTCAAAGTTTTCCCTTCTGTTCTGAATGATATGAAACTTGGGAATCTTGCCACACCAATACTTGTTCAGGCATTTGAATAGATTCCAGGCCTTTTATGAGAAAGAAAAACTTCAGTTTTAACTAACATTTTTGTAGTGGCATAAGGTCTTCTTTGATCCATAGGATTAGGCAAACTTTGTTACCCACACATCTCACTTCAAAGGTATTGATGTCCATCTTGGGGAGCAGAAAAACCTAAAACCTGCATCACAATATCCAACAAAATCTCGATTAAAAACCTTACTATAAAAATGACAATGTAAATGAGGAAAATTTAAAAGAATATCCACATAATGTCAACTTCAGGATGGGAGTAGTTTTAAACAAGACAGGATATCCAGAAGACATAAAAACTGGTTAAGAGTGGACCACATTAAAAAAAAAAAATGGTACAATCAAAATATACCGTAAATCATGTCAAAATACAGACAATGGTGAAAAATATTTGCAATCCAAAAAACTTGTGTTAATATTCTTACTATTCCTACCAATCAAAAATTTTTGTAAAATTGGCAATTGATTTCAGATGAGGAAATGGAATTATCATTAAGCATGAAAAGAATACTCAAAAAAATCATAGATATGCCAAATTAAAACATGAAGCCATTGGACTGGCTAAAAAACACGATTATTAATTTGCAGTACAAGTGAGGATATAAGATAAAGGTGACTGATGGGAAGAGTAAATCACTGTAAGCTTGACTTCACTAATAAATGGGAATCCGTCTTTATCTACTTAAGTGCCACCATCATTTTGTCTAAGAATGTTCACTACATTAATAGCAAAAACTACAAATAACCTACCTGGGGCAGTTGGTTAGGTTGGGGAACCTTCATACAACAGCCTACTATGCTCCTATTAAAAATACGTAAAAGCATTTTGATTAATAAGTACAAGGCACTATTGTGACTCACATACATATATTTCTTCTTTACAGAAGCCCATGATTTATCTCTGTATTATAGAAGTAGTAACTGAGACACAGAGAGAAGTAACTCATTGAGACTATGTCATACTGCTGGTTTTATAGATGGAGGGGGCCAGAAACCAAGAAGTGTAGACGGCTTCTAGAAACAGAAAAAGATAAGGAAAACAGATTTTGACATCAGAGCCTTGAGAAGGAAACAGCCCTGCTGACACCTTTCAGCTCAGTGAGACAAATTTCAGACTTCTGACCTCCCAAACGGGTAAGTTTGTGTTGCTTTAAGCCATTAAGATTGATGCAATTTTTTTACAACACCGATAAGAAACTAATACAACATAATAAGGGATAATAAAAGTACTATGTGGACAACATTATTTCCAAAAATGCCTTTACTAAAGTTTAATGTAGGGGCCATCACTTTCTGGTATAAACAGTTAAGTTCTGTATCATCTATGAACCTATTGCTGAGAACAGTGCTAGATCCATAAAAAGATACGTAATAAACATGAATAAATAACAGCTTAGTATAGATATGACTTTTTTATTGAGGTATAATTTGACATTGAACTAGCAGTTCCGGGTATATGACAGGATTAAATATTTGTATATATTGCAAAACGATTACCTTTTCTCTATGGATTTTGGAAATTAGTAGAAAATGTGTCCATCACAACAGGATCAGTCCTATCAGAATAACTTTTTCAGATAGCAGTTTCAACAAACTACATTCTGAGTTATCAAAATTTCACATTAATGATGCAGATTCCTCTTAAGCATCACAAGAAACTAATATTTTTGTGGAAATACATATTCTAGTATGTCTGTAACTCCTAAGCTCAAAAGATCTAAGACATGTACTCTAATGCTTTAATGTTACATTATAAATACACATAAAAGTGATTCAAAGGTATGTGAATGCTCTACTAGAAAAGACAATAAAAAAAAGTCTAACCACATAAAGGAATATAAAACTATTTATTGACCACTGTTTACCAGTATTTACAATAAAGTAAATAATATACAGTTGGATAACATTCTGACTACAAAGTTACTGTTTTTCCTGGTTTCTGCTGAACCAGTAACTCAAATACTGAGAAGATTGAGCCTACATGTAAGGAATGAGTTGGGGTAAAGAAAAAAACATGCAGGTCAAGAATTTAGATTACAGAGGTCTGTCCCCCCATTTATTCCAGCAGGTGCTAAATTGCCAACATCTCTAACCATCTGATTATGATCAGGTTTCCATGAACAAGTTGTAGACATTCCATGAATCATGACCTTTTAGTCCGTGCAGCACAGGGATTTCAACTTCTTCAAAGGGAATGGTTCACCAGAAGGAACCTTTAAATGTCCATTTAACTAAGTTTTGCTTACCTAATTAAAACATACCAGGACTTGTCTGGTTTTTTTCATTTGGGTGGGGAGGTTATTGGTAGTGATAAAATTTTCCTTTCAGGAATCTTGCAAACGAACTTGCATTTGTGTGACTGCAGACATGAATTCTGTTACGGCTGCTTTCAAATTGTCCAATTTAAATTGCTTACATTATGTGTAAGCCCAATTAATTACAAAATTTGAAAGGTTAAGGCTTCAGGAAAACTTTCAATTTAAGTGATTTCTTAGGTTGCTGAAAATGATGGCATCCCAGAAACGTGGGCTTATCCATGGTTATAAAATGCTGTTTTTATTTTGGGGAATGTTAAAAAAAAAAAAAAAAAAAAAAGAAAACGATTTACGTATGTATTTTAAGTATATACACACAAAAAAAACCCCCAAATAAACAAAAAACCCAGAATGGTCCTTAGGCATATAGGAGTTAAACACAAATTCTGATTGAAGAACAACTATGAAGATTTCCCCCAACATTTAGAAAAGGTGTTCTCTAAAGCAGGGGAATAATATACCATGGTCTCAAATATTCTTCTCTGATAAAGGAAGCAACTACAGAAAGCTTTTATTTGTTCAAAGTAACCAGTGCTATAGATGCAAAAAACCCCAACAACTCCCCCAATACTACTTCAAAACAAACATATCAAACTTGATTTTCATTAGAATGTTATTTTTTCACACTAATAAACCAAAAAACCAAGACCCAGATTTTATATATATATATAAATATATATAAAAAGCAACACAAACAATTATTGAGCTTCATCTTCCGGACAAGAATGCCAAGTTAGTCTCTCTTCATAAAAAGCAATTACAATCTGAGGACACTTCATATTTGCCTCTTTTGCCAGCACCAAGTCTGCCTCATCTGAATCTTTCCTGTTGTGAGGAAAAAAAATGTTCAGTCAAAAGTCTCAATGATTTTTGTCAACTGCAAGTCTTTCACTTAAGTCGTAATTCAATCAAAAGGTGTTTAAGTGCTTCTGAAGGATTATGTGGTACATGTGACTATGTTCCAATACAACCTCATCTTCCAAAACAAGCCACAGTTTGCCAAATTTTGTTTTAAAACATCATAGCAAAAGAAACTAGAATCATCCTTTCAGCAGATAATTACTACCTCATAATGATGAAAACTATAAAACCTTTTCTAGTTAAGGCTTCACAAATTTAAAACAATCTATTCCTACTTTAAAATAAAACAGCAATCATCTGCACACTTACCATTTCATGAGAAACATTAATTCTCCACTGCTGTCTGTGGCACCAATTATTCGTTCAGGATCAAGACCTCTGGCAAAGCCTCTTGGTTTATCAGCCTGATTAAAAAGATATTGACTATTAAAAAGATATTGACTTTTCATATAGCAAACTAATAATATTAACTTCCAATGTGTTTACATGAAATATAGCTTTCAAATAAAAATCATCCCATAGTGAAAAAGAAATAGCAAGAGAAAAAACCCTTATTTAGTACTAAAACATAATTTCCGTTAACCTTTCAAGAAGCTACAACAAATGTGGGTATCTAAAAGTATTCTAAATTGCAAGTCAAGGTAACAAATACCTTTCCGTATCCTAATATGTCAAAAGACAGAACTGTATGGGCACACAAAAAAATTAATCCCTTTATTTTGCTAACTCATCCGTTAATAATTGTAAATTCTTGAAGATTTCACTTGTCGGTATTAGTCTAAATTACCCACATATTTTAAAAGCACACACAAAACACAAATAGGAAAATAGTAAAAACTTCAAAACTCACACTCATCAGTAATGTAATCAATGTGAATTATAGGAAACCTTATAAAATACTTAGCATAAACCAGTGCTTCTAAAAGTGTGGTTTGAGGACCCCTGGATATTCTAGAGACCATTGGTATGTGTCTGTTTATCTGCAAGGTCCCCTCTTTTCATGTATCTCTGACTTCAGATTATCTTCGTATTATCTCCAAACATTGAGAGCAAATCAGATGCAGAAGTAGAACTATCTTAAGCCAGACATCGAAAAGATTTGCAAAAATGTAAAATGACACTCTTCTCGTTTATTTTTCATGAAAAGTTATGAGCATGCAATAGGTTCTGTCACTGTTAACTGAATACAAGGATTTTAGGAATTTGTTTTATTTCTCATATAGTTAGTATTGATAGTCATAACACACATGAACAAAAGTTTTTGGGGATTCTCAGTAATTTTCTCAAGTATTAAAGGGGTTCTGAGGCCAAAAACGTTTGAGAACTGCCTACGTCGTCAAATCCCTTCTCCCTACCAGACTTTATCTATATCATAGGCTCTGGAGTCAGATTACCTGGGTTAGTTAGAATGAAGACTCTAACCTTTACTGTGTGGCTTTGGGCAAGTTAACCTCTGTGGTTCAGGTTTTCTATAAAACAGGAATAATACTATCTGTCTCAAACGTTTTGTAGTATGCAAAGTACAAATTAAGTTACATAGAACACTGCTGGGCACATTGTAAGAGCTCAAAGTAGGGTTAAGTATTGTTATTAAACAGTGCTTCTTATCAGTATATGGTTGACTTTCTATCTATGCCTATAAATTCTTAACACGTTACCTTTTTGCTTTGGCCACTGAAGCATTCAGAACCAAATATGTCGTCAACCTCTCTGTTTCTCATCTGGGAAATGGGGATAATACCTATAATTTTAATAAACTTGCCATGAAGAAGCACTTGGCATCTAGTTCAAATGATAAAATTTTAAATCCAAAGACCTTAGCAATGCATCTATATTTTCTGTTTAATTCCCAAACCTAAATACTAATTCAGAATCAAGACCTTTTCTCAAATTGATGTTAGGTCAGTAGGTACGGTCAGTATAATGTTTTGGAGTTCAGGGTATAAGCAAGTAGTTATGTGTTTTGCCCAAAGCCACAGAAACATTAGAGAAGCAAAGACCGGATCAAAATATCCATGTACTGAATGAACCAACTATCTCATTTCATGCCCTCCCCCCAACCAAACCCCAAAAAACCATAGAAATAACTTCCATTACTAATGATTATATACTTCAAAATCAAAGTGTTCTTTGGCAATATCCTTGACAAAACAAGGATCTCATGCAGAAGTACTTTCTGGTGGTCAATGCCACTAACAGTCCCTAATCAGGATGTGCCATGTGGATTATTTTTACTACATTGTAAAGGACAGCAATGATCTAATCTTTGTGTTCGTTGTATTTAAGACTGCCAGTCCCGGATCACAGGAAATGGTTTTACTAAGGCTCAAATCCACGAATCTACTCAAAATAACACTAGCATAACAATTTAAGTGGTATAAGCACTTACTGCACATTTATATGATGCAGACTAAATCATCTTTATCCTTTTTTGTCCTAAATATTACGCATTTTAAAAAAGCTTTTCAATGATTTTTAAAGCATTTCAATTTTAAGTATTTTAAATGTACTTTAAAAATCAAGCCATCAACCTTTTACAAAGTTAGTCTGGTGGACAATATTTTACACTTACAGCATCTCTTTTCTTCTTGGATTTGCTATCATCAGATTCACTGTCAGATAAAGATTTTCTTTTTGTGCCATCTTTTTCTTTACCAGCTTTTTGAGAATTAAGAAATGCTTCAATTAACTCTGGACAATCTAAATTTTCTTCAGGTTCCCAAGTATTGTCAGCACTAGGTTCAGTTAAAAAAAAAAAGAAAAAAAATTCAATACAATTCATCACCATCATCCACATCCATTTAATATTTATCTGAAAAAAGTCTGCTGTACTGCAGATGCTTCTTCCCTAGCTCCACATTCTCGAGAAAATCTGCTTATATTTCCTGTCTTTCTCAGCCCCCTATTAATCTGCTGTATTACATCCAAGTTAACTGTACCTGACTCTAGCAGAATAATTAGAGCTAATATTTTTCTAAGTACACCAATAACCCACTTCAGAATTTCTCTGAAAAGGCTTTAAAAATGTGGATTCCTTATTCCCACCCCAAGTCACTTTACCAGATCAGACTATGCCTCAAATTGGGATCTCCAATACTGTGTTTGAAAACACAATTCTAAGGCATTCTTAAATGTGAGACAGAATTGTCAATTTCTGCTGGGTCCTCAAATGGGGTAATGAAGAACGGGTTGGCAACCCAAAAGTCAAATCCAGCTTTTTGTATGTTGGGCAAACTAAGAATAGTTTTCACATTTTTAATTTGTTGGGAAAAAATTTCAAAATGACATTTACGTGAAATTCAAACTTTAGGGCCATACAGTGTCATTAGAACACAGCCATGCTCATTTGTTTAATGTAGTGTCTGCTGCTCCTTCTGTATTATATTTGCAGAGATGAGTAATCATGAGAGACCTATGGTCCACAATGCCTGAAGTATTTACCATATGATTCTTTAAGGAAAAAGTTTGGCAACCCCTGATATAAGGCTGAGATGAGCATTTTCATGTTTTTCAGAAGGACTAGAAGAAAAATGAATAGCAATTACCAATATGAAAGATAATCCTAGTGATAGGCTTGCAACTTTTTTTTTTTTGTAAACGCTATGCCCAATGTGGAGCCAGAACTCAAAACTGCGAGATCATGAGTAGTATGGTTTACAAACGGAACCAGCCAGGCTGGTTAAGACCCCTAGTTTTAACTTTGTGTGCTCTGATCCAAAAAGACTTTACAGAACAGAAAGAAATTAATTTTAGAGATGTTGGAAAACAAAGGTAATGTTAACCTCTGATTGTAACCTGTGTCTTTTGATATGCTGAGACTCTAAAATTGGAAAACCTGAATCTGAGAACAGAGGAGCACAAAAGAGTTGAAGCAGAGCCTCTGTCTAATATAACACAGATCTACGTAACCCTAACCCTTTCTATATGTGGATAATATAGGCTTGTATATTACCTAATACACTGCACAGTTATCTAGCAGGTCTCAATCATAATAATGGCCTTAAGTTTCGGAGAAAGAGGGAGAAAAGGAGTAAGGTTTCTTAATATTTTGATGGGCTGGGTAGAAACAAACAGCATTTAACGTCTCGAGATTCCAAAACAACAAAAAAACCTACCATATGAAGGTAATCAATTCTTTGACACATTCGTTAAATCTAACTTTAAAATAGTTCGGACTTGGGGCACCTGAGTGGCTCAGTCAATTAAGTCTTCGACTCTTGATTTCAGTTCAGGTCACAAACAACACTTTGTGAGAGCGAGCCCTGTAGCTGACAGCTCCCTCTCTCTCCGCACCTCATCCCCATCCTGCACACATTCTCTCAAAAATGAAAATAAAGTAAAATAAAATATGATAAAATAAAAGTTCAGACTTATTTTGCTTTGTTCTCCTACCTGTTGGAAATTTTTCTAGTGGCAAATTACGAATTTATGATGTACACTTTCGCTCAACTAAGAATACTGAAAGGATAAAATAAGAAACCTTCAATCTTCCATTTAACTCGTAATTCCCAAATTGCTTATGGAGGCAGCTTTAAAGGTAAACGGTGGGGCATGTAGTAGGTATCAGATATCTGAAGCCTAATTATTTAACTAGCACACTCCCCCATGTCCACCCCGTTCAGAAAACTGTTGACTATCTTCACTATCCATTTTTTATAAGTCACTGGCCATGGAACCTTGCTGTTTTTGTGGTATTAGGCAAAAGATTCCAAGGAGATTTAGCACAAGCTAAATGTAAGAGTAGAATTTCTGCATGAGTTATTCGCAATACACTATAAAAATTAGGACAACAATTAGCAACGAGGAATATAAAGAACTAAGGAGCTTGAAAAATGCCCTGACTGCTTCTTAGAGATTAGGATACAGTAAACCTAGTGTATGGCGCGGGTCCTGGATTATGATAAGCACTTCTGTTCAACACCCACCAGTCTACCTTATATAGCTTCACACCTTATATAGCACACCCTCCCTATATAAGGAAACGTCAATCAAATATTCTAATTGGTGCAATACTTAACTATCTTAAAATGCATTATACGGTGAACTGCACTCTGTAAATGTGACTCTTCAAGGCAATCGACTAGTTTCAAATATGCTTGGTTACGACTGTAGGCTAAAGACTTGGCTCTTTTTAAACAGCTCTCAATCAAGGTACCCTAGATTGAGGTATCTTTACATTTAAAGAAATCTATGGAGAAACTGATTTTAAAAACTTCAGACTAAAAGCAAACTTTAAATGTCACTTAACTGCAGTTAAACATCTAATAAAAGCACCAGGTTTCTTACTCTGTAAATCCCTTCCACTTCAGGAAATACTCCACCTTCCCATTCACTACACGTCGGTCCAGTACTTTTTCCACCACAAATTCTTCAGGCTCTGCCTCTTCTACTTTTTTACTCTTTCCATTCTGTTTCTTTCCCATTTTTTGCTAAAATAAAACAAAAAAGAGATTTAAGAGACATTTTTTAAAAATTCTGAGTACATTTTAAGGACTAAATTAAAGACTGCATTCGACACCTGTGTTTTTACTTCTATATCCCAGGGGAGACCCTTCTGAAAAGATTAAAGTCAACAAAAGGAATACTTAATTCCATTTTAGCTCAAACCTATCACCCACCCCCCTTCACTGAAATAATACAATCAAAAACACTGGAAAATACTGTTATCTTCTCCGAATCCAATCTCTCATCTAGTCTACAAGACCAAGTTTACTAGAGTTTGCACTCATTTTAACTGCAAAAAGCAACAGACAACTGGAAAAGTACCAGAAGATGACACAAAGAAGAGAGTACTAGTAACAGGTCTTACTGAGCCACAGTCCCATTAAACTATAGCCCCCAGACACTAAAACCCCCTGTATCAATGCAAACACCAACGTTAAGCCTTGATTATACAGAAAAGAGGTAAATGCGGAATGAAAACATGGTTCAGAATCCTGATATCAATTGTAGAGTCAACTAAGGAGACCATGAAGAGGCTAAAAAGGACGCTAGTACTGTTCCGTAATTTCTGTAGATAGTATTACAGATCACGTGGAACAAAGCTATAATGTTGTCACACGAAGATGCCAAAACGCTGGATCATTTTAATTCTCCAATGTGAAAAAATCTTGGTTTCTCAAGAGTCCAAACTGGTAGCCAACAAAATTCATGTAGAGAAGTTTTTAGGTTAGTTTTTTTCTTTACATAATGCTACGAGAGAAGCCAAAAGACCATGCTAAACCCCACACTATTTTCCAATTATTTTAAGTCAGATGTTATGAGGATTGATAAGGGATAAAACAAAAAACTTAAATGGTTAATTAGAAGAGACTAAGGGAGGGAAACCTCAAATGTTAATTCTAAATTCATTTCAGTGGTGCTATTAAAAAAAAAACTAAATTGCTAACACTGAAGTCACCCCTAATACAGCATACAGGCAAAAAAGTTAACCAGCAATACTTCAAGATGGCAAAAAAACATTAAAATTATGGAATTATTCACAAATGTACACACATAGAAGTAATAAAACTCCTCTGGAATTTACAATAACCCAGCAAACACCTGATTTTGTTGGATACCTTCTCTAAGTCAGGCCTTATAATTTTCATTAATTCACATACTGGGTATCACAACCAGTCAGATAGCTTTTTGTTTCTGTACAGTACAAGGAATGGCAGTGAGAGAAATGAAGAACTGGTGTAGACAAAAGTCTATCAGTGATCCTAAATGATAAAATAGCCATCTTCATGAAGATGAGGTTAACAGAATAAAGAGGAAAGCAAAAATAAGCACAAAGAGTGAGAAGAATAAACACTAATAAAACTTGGCACAAAAAATGAAGTATTTACTTCTATGGCACCCATAAGCTACTTACAAATGTTCATTTTTTTCTTTTCAAAAAAAATTCGCCCACTTTCCCACATAAATTAAAAGCACACCTCATCTCTTGAAGTGAAAAGAACTTTCAAGACTGTCAATTTATGATCCCTTGACAAAGGATAAAATGCTTCAGGATCATCAAGTTACAGACATTGAAGACTATCAAAACTGTGCCAGAGCAATAGAGGCATCTATGTGTGCTTTCATCCTCCAAGCCTCAGGGATAGCTAGTTCCTTCTCCTTCCAATACTTGAAGGTCACAGGCAACCGTACAGCCAATTCAATTATCTATACACTTTGGTTTACTGGTTATGGAAGTTGAAGGGCAGTTCAATCCTGACGGGGCATGGAAGATGCTTTGCACTTTTTTCCACTGAGGGCTTTGATGTGAATCTTTTGTGCCACACTTTACATTTCAACATTTGCCAGGATTTGAGTTAAACGTGCAACCTAATGATGGTAAAAATTAAAAATCAGCAACTTGCCTTTTTAGTGTGAAACCCAAGAGAGGAATATACAAACCAAAACCAAATGTTTTACCTTATTTACGTGTTAGCACTCACCTTTAATATGATTGCAATTATTAATGCAATGTGTTAGAATTACTGTGAGAATCATAACGTTGAATTTTGCGATTGGTATATGAATATTTCAATGTTTTAAAAAACCCGTAACAATATGGCTGAGCATACTACGTCTTTACACATTCATAGAACTTTTAACGAAGTATAGGAATGAATGCAAACTTTGGATTTAAGAGAGTGAAAAAATTTAATTGCTCCAAATTTAATTGCTGCAGATCTAGTCTTCTCTCTTCCCAGGACATATGTATGGTTTTGTTCATTTTGTATTTAAAAAACCACATGGCAATGATGTGATTTTAAGGCCTTAATGTATTTTAGAGTAATTAAGCTTGAAATATGACAGTATGACTAAAGTAATTCCCAAGGTTGAATGACTTTTGTCCCAACCTAGGTGTATGAGGAACAACTTCTTTAACCAACACTGAAAATACCTGCTCTCTCTAGAATTCAATATAGGGAGATTTAGGGACTCTTATGCCAACACGCAAGAGCTTTACAGCACTGCCTGTCAATATTCTTCCATGTTGCAAAAGTTTATTTTTATTTCAAGATAAAAATACTCTGTAAAATTCATGTTGCTATCCTCCCAAGATTAGGTTTCTTTAAATGGATTAAGACACTATTAAGCCAAGCCTGTAAGTATCTTAATGTAATGATTTCGTTTTTGCCCCTAATTCTCCCCATAACAACACTGCAGGGAGAGGGGACTGGGAAATACATGTGGATGTAAATATCTCAACCACAGAGATGCAAAGTTATAATTTTGGGGGGAAAAAAATTTGAGTTAGATCCTTACGTATTTTAGGTTTTCATTAACTTACCAATGTAGTTTTATTGGAGGCCATTTTTTATTGCAGACTTGAAGAGCTATTACTAGAAAAATGCATGACAGTTAAAAAGAAGTTTGCACGACACAAAAAAGGTAGGTAAACACAAGTTTTGTTTGGATTCCAACCCCCACTTATGTATCGTATATTTAAAATTTGTACTCAAATCCAGAGATGCAGATTTGAGCTCCTGCCTAAGTTATTAGTGACCTATGCTTGCTGAGTACATCAGTGTTGTAACCAAGTGGATTGAGAAATCCTTATTGGGTACCCTGGTATCTGAGACGGTTTTACAAAGGAAAAAATAGTAGACAAATATTTTTTCCCCAATCTAAATCCCGCTATCAATCCTATCCAGAATTTTTAAAAAAGTCAAATAACTTGTTTCAAAATTCGATGTGATAACCCAAACAATCACAATTATTAAACTACCTTCAATTTTCCCACTAGACCTTGTAACAGTCCAAAGAGGCACCTACATAACCCCAACTTGGTTTCTTTTTAGAACCCCCCCCTTTCTAATCACTAGTTTTAAAAGCTGAAGACAGAAAAAAAACATACTGAGATGCGTGAGTCCCATTTCGTGCCACTTTTAAGACAAACCACCTCTTCAGTCTATCCGCCCCCCATAAGCCCCACCCTGCTTAACCAGGCCCAAACACCCGGCCCCCGCCCCCCACCCGGGAGCGCGGGCCTCGTGGTCAGCGCATCCGCGGGGAGAAACAAAGGCCGCGGCCCGGGGGCTCAAGGGCACTGCACCACTGGGCCCGCGTTCGTCCCCACCCGGCGGCAGCCACGTAACGGAACGCCAGCCGCAGCCTCAGGACAGCGAGCCGTGCTGATGCGGGAGAACGCACCGCCCTCACGGGAGGCCCAAGTCGCCGACCGAGGCCGCGAAGGGGAGGAGGGCCCCTCATCTTGATCGCGGGTGGGGGAGGGGGAAAGGAAATGCGCTTTGTCTAGAAATAAGGCGGCTGTCGCCACGGCTCTCTACCCTCTCGAGGTCTGTCTCGTTCTCCCCCTCCCCCACAACTAACTCCAGGCAGCGGCCCACCGCCAGGCCAGCCGCTGGGTCTCCTCTCGACTCTCCGCTGCTTCCCGCCAGCTCCTGACTCGGGGTCGGGCGGGGAAGGGCGGGAAGCAAGGAACTGGGGTGCGGGGCGAGAATCCCTGGGGCGCAGGTGGTATCTTAAGCACCACCACCGCGTAGAGAAAGAGAAAGAAAGACACCGACTTCACCGCCTCCGAGCTGCTCCGCGTCCCGGGTCTGCGGCGTCTCCGGCCCTGCGCGCCTCAAGCTC